AAGGACAAGGTAGAGGTGCTCGCGTGCTTCCTGAGTCATCTGCTCCCCCAGCTTCAGCACCTCCAAGGGGGGCACGGGGATGGGGACGCCGTGGTGGAACATGCCTTCCCGCGGCATCTTGGGGTCGATGATCTGCCGAAAGGGCAGGGAAGAGCTGAGAGGGGAACGGGGACCCCCAAGTGCCACGCTGTGGGAGCGGGACATGGATTCCCGAGGCCTTGACAGCGGGCGGGAGTGCGCAGCCAGCAGTACTCACCAGCGCCGGGTAGGAGGGGTACCCCCGGCACTTGGCCCACACCAGGTCACGGGCTTTTTTTTTCGTCCTCGGACAGCCACCCTGTGCCACGGCCCATGCCCTTGCGCACCACTGTGCAGGAGGAGAGGGGAGAGGCGAATCAGCTGTACCCCCCCCAGGTGACTGTGCCAGCCGGGCACGTGGCTGTACAGCCGCAGTACTTACTGCCGTGCCCCACGCCTCGCCCTGTGCCCACGGAGTACGACTCATTCTCCGTCCCCGACGTGTCCTCGCTGCTGTCCTCTGGGAAGTTCACTCGGGAGAAGGAGGGTTTCCCTCTGCCCTGCTTGGAGGGCGTTGTGCTGCAGAGAAAGAGAGCGGAGCTGTCAGTAGGAGCCACATTAAGCTTCCAGAAACAGCTTTTGAGAGGGCCAGCCTGGCAAGACACCAGGGCTCGTGGGCTCCAACCGCCAGCCTCGGCACCAGGGAGGACTCAGCAGAGGTACCAGGAAGAAAGGTGTCCTCCTCCTGAGGCACTGGCCTGACCCTCAGCCCAGTTTAACCCAGGAGGACCCAGAAGACGTGCACTGATCCAAATCAGGGCCGCAGGCAGGAACCTGCTGGAGCTGGCTGCTGAAAGGGTCTGTGCCGGAGCAGCTGCTGTGCCAAGATGGAATTCCCCGGTTCATGCTCCCTACTCGCCCTCAGCAGGGCAGCACTGGGTGCTACGCACTCACACCTTTAGATTTTACATTAAAAAAAGGCACAAAACCTGCAGCTTCCTAGGGTTTGGCTACCAGCAGCCGGGCTGCAGGAGGGTGAACGAGACAGGTGCCATCTGACAGGCTCCTCGTCCAGCAAGTCAAGGCTGCAAGCCACCCTGGGCAGCACCAGCACCGTGGGAGCCGGGCTGGGCATGGTACCTGGTACGGTCCGAGGCGGCACTGCTGCTGCTGCTGCTGCTGGACTCCGAGTCGGAACTGCTCCGGGGAAGATTGCAGTCATTGCGGTACACCAGGAAGCTCTTCTTCACCGGCTGGTTCCCGCTGCTGAAACCGTTGGCTGGCAGGTCTGCAAAACACCCCACCAGAAGAGCATTACCACCACACGGGACCCTGAGCGCTCTCCTGGCGGGACCGCGGCCGCCTGGCCGCGCAGGGGGAGCGGCTGCACCCACCCATGGGAGCGTCTTCGGTGGACTTATCGCTGTCACTGTCTGAGCTGGAGCTGGGGCGCGGGCTTCGTCCTCGCTTCCGCTGCCGCTGGGAGGACCCCATTATTGGGAGCTGGGGTGGCCCGATGGGGCTGTTTCCGTGCCCGGGAGTGATCTGGCTGTCTCGATTCTTCGGGGGGCGTCCTGGACGTTTTGGAGGGCCTGCAGTTTTAGGGTTCTTCTTTGAGAAGAGTACTGAGGTCCTCCTACCAACTTCATGTGCTGGGGTGGAAGAAGAATTGGGACCCAGACCTGGAAGAGGGAGAAGGAGCTGGCTGCAGCCCGTGGGACCTGGCAGGGACCACACAGCAGCGGCACCTAGGAACAGCTTAATTTCTTAGGAACTCCATCTCAGAAGATCCTCCATCCTGAGCTCTGCTGTGTCTGTGCCCTCAGGGTCAAACTACCTAGTCTGCTGACAACAAAAGCTAGATGGGCCCATCAAAAACCACTCCACCAGCCAGAGATGCTCTAATTTTTCACAGGCAGCAACCTCACAGAAACAGAAGTCAAGTGCGGGGAAGCAGGAATAAACCTTTCCCATGACATGCAGCAGCTGAGAAGCTCCACTGCATCCTTGAAAGACAAACACCCTAAAAACTCCCAGTTTGCAGAATGGCCTGCTTTTCCCGGTGCTTAGAGGGCAGGAGGGGGATGCAGAGGTGGCAAACCCCCAGTGACACCCAGCAGCTCTGCCTGGAGCTTTGGCTGTGCTCCCCATGGAGTGAAGCTCAGCATCTCCACCCAGGAGGCCACGGAGCTGGCAGGTGGCCCACGTTCGGCTCCCAGCCCTGGGAGGGCGTCTGGAGCTCGGCAGTCAGTGCAGCTGTAACTCCCTCCTGTGCCCCCAAGCAGGAAGGGATGCTGAAGGCAGCCTGATCCGTAACGCCCCTAGAGAAACCAGGCAGTGTGGCAGAGCTGGCTGGGCCAGGCAGGAGGCAACAACCCATCTCACGCCCCACATCACGCAGCTGGGACTCTCACGGCAAAGTGCTCAGTCTCTGGAACGACGTCCAGTTCCTCGGCCACACGGGAGGCAAGCTCACCGGGTGAACAGGGACCGCAGCTGCCAACACCAGCGACCTGCTGGCTCTCCCCAGAGGCAAATGCACACCACGAACAGGAGGTGGCCACCTTCGGCTGCCAATTCCCTCCTGCTTGGCAGGAACAGCTCACTACAAACCACCCAGCAGGGTACCGTCCTGGGGTGGGCAGGCTGGGAGGGAGCCCAGGGAGGTGCAGACATTGTACTCTGCACCCACCCCTATGGGAGGCACTACAGGAAATGAGGGACCCCTGTAGGGGAATGGGAGATAAGGGACTGCCCCCCAAGAGGCCATCTGCTCTGCTCCTAAGGAGGAGTGAAGAGCGAGACGTGTGCGGGGAGCTGCCTAGGCGGCCCTCCTGCCTCACCAGGCAGCTGGCAGGGCAGTAGACAAGCCAATCCAGAGGCAGTTCTCCATCGCTCCCCAAAACTGTCAGTATTCTGGAGGGATCAGTACCTTTGCCAGTCTCCTGGCTGCTGCTCTCTTCTGCTGCGCTGTCTGTCTGCAGGTCCTTCTCGCAGGGGTTGTGCGACTGCAGGACTCCCCTGGCAGAGGAGCTGTGCCGCTCCAGCCCGTCTCGGCCCAGGTCCCGTGGGTGAGCGAGTTTCCGCCGTAGGACTGTGATCTCCTTCTTGATCATCTTGGCCCGGCGGGACCGTCCTATGCTCTGCTTGCCAGCATTGACCTCATCCAGCCGCTCCAGCAGGATCTTTAGCTGCTCCTCCAAGGGCAGGTGCTTCTGATTCTCTGAGAGTAGCAGCCGCACATCTTCTGGGGGAACAAAGAGGAGCAGATGGATGAAAGAAATTGGGAACTCTTTGGAGCTCCTCTACCTGAAAGGGCATGGTGCAATCCAGGTTCCCCGCAGGCAGGAAGTAGCTGACATGGTACTGAACACCTGTGAACACGGGAAGTTACCCTAAAAGACTTGGAAAAGGAGCCCTGTGGGAAGCGAGCCAGTTGGGATTGCTGGGGAAAGCAAGCTGATCAGCAGCTTGGAGAGTATCAGAGTTCCCATCGGCTGGGACAAGGACACAGCAGGAAAAAAGAAGGGGGTTGAAAAAGGAAAAACGAGCCAAAAGGATCCTGAAGCATTACGGAGCAGGGAAGTTCCCCTGTCTGAGCCTGTCCTGTGCTAGAGCAAGGAGAGGGGGACCCCACAAGGATCCTTCTCCGACAAGCTGTTCCTGGTGGTGCTCCCCACTGCCCAGAGACAACCAGACTGCAACCACGAAGCCAGTGAGATCTGTCTGAGGAGTGCCAGGAGCTGTGTGGCAGCCAGTGAAGCCCACAGCTGGAGAGCGCAGGGAGCACCCAGCTCTCACCAGGGGGAGTCAGTCCTTCCAGCCGGGCAGCACAGCAGGAGCCTCAGAAGCTCATGGCCAGTGCTGGGGACTGGGTGAGTGATGGTACCTGTCTCCCAGGCAGCCCCTTGCTTTGACCAAGAGGAGGACGAGGGACCAAAGGACACACAGACAAGCCACTGCCTAGAACCAGCCTAATGAGGCCAATAGGTACCCAGCTGGCAAAGCCCCCACCTCTGCGGGGAGCAGGCACACACGGCCCAGGCATCCAGCTGAACCTCCCATGGGAGTCAGCTCAAACAGACTCCCAGGTGCCCTGTCTGTGCCCAGGCTTTACCTCCAAGTAGCCCTCATACCCCACGACAAGGGATGAGTACCCACCGTCCTCGATGTCTTGGACCTGAGCCTCTTCCACCGTCACACAGTGGGGGAAGTGCATGCCTGTCTCAAAGTCAATGCCCATCTTCTCTGCTTGCCGGCGAGCCTGCCGGAGAACGGCGCCTCCCTGCTCCCGCAGACGGATGGCTGCCCGGTAGAAGATTGTGTCTTTGGCATTGTATTTCAAACAGTTGTTGATAATCAGGTTGAAATCCTCCTCAAAGTCGTCGAAATTCAGATAGCGATAGGCTTCCAGATTTTGTTTCATTGTCTGAAAATCCATCGGCTTCTTGATGTGATCCAGGTAGTCTGGGACCTGCATGAGGAAAGAGCCAGAGCTAAAAGCTCGGGAGCCATCAATTAGCATTACCTGCTCCAAGAAAACAGTCGTTAGAGGAATCAGGTATCGCTCCCTGTGTTCTGAGCAAATGCACATCGGGGGATGCCGTCTGCTTTTGCAGCTTGAGGAACAGTAACGCCTCCGGACTGGGGAGCCCATGTGCTGTGCTCAACCTGCTAGAGCAGATACGCACTCTGAAGCGTTTCTACGGCTCCAGCGCACGTGCCAGCATCCTGTCCTCTCCTCCTGTCTGTGGGCAGCTGGGATCCAGTACACTACATGGTGTTCCCCAGGGAACGAAGCCGCAAGCCTGGCCCCCGGGGGTGAAGGTGAGCACAGACAGGTAAAACAACTGTCCAGGTGGCAGCAATGGCTGCAGGTGGGACCACACAGCCTTCTTCCCCAGCTCTGCTGAGACACCTCCGTGCCGAACTGCTGCCAGAGCTGTGCAGAGCCAGCATGGCCTTTCCCCACCTCACCAGGCAGGGACTCGATGATGGTCTCAAATAACTTCCCTTGCCCCCAGCAGTGACAGTCCGGGGTCCAACCCGTTTCTGTGCTGTGCTCAGTCTCACCTAGCAGAGGCCTTCACAAGAGGACAGGTAAAAGTGTGCTGCCTGCCAAGGGCCGGCATTCTGCCTTTCCCAGTGGGAATCCCCAACTGCTCACAGACACTGGAGAGTCACCAGCAACACACGCAGAGGAGGAGCCGAGTGCTGTGCTCTCGGCCAGCACCAGCTCAACTGTTCTGCATCCAGCTCACCCAGGAGTGGCATCTCTGCACACCCTCCTCGGGTGAGCAGTGCCAGGATGTGCAAGCCAGTACCACGCTGCCCAGGGGAGCTTCCGGCACAGAGGGTGCCCTGGGCAGCCCTTGGCATGAGCAAGGGACAAGTCTGAGTGAAGAAGAAATCTGGGGGAGGGGGTTCTTACTTCGTAGATTTCTGTTACCTCAGACAGAGGGACCGGCTCACTGAAGATGTTGCCAGTGTCCTTCTCCTGCAGCTGCTCGAGTGTCTTGCGGAGCACGCTGCCCAGGGGAGCTTCCGGCACAGAGGGTGCCCTGGGCAGCCCTTGGCATGAGCAAGGGACAAGTCTGAGTGAAGAAGAAATCTGGGGGAGGGGGTTCTTACTTCGTAGATTTCTGTTACCTCAGACAGAGGGACCGGCTCACTGAAGATGTTGCCAGTGTCCTTCTCCTGCAGCTGCTCGAGTGTCTTGCGGAGGGGGGGGGGGGAGGGGGGCGGG